CTTCAAGTGCTGATGATACAAGTGCTGAATGTTTCAAGTCCAAGATGCAGTATTAAAATAGCAACCAAAGCAAAATAATCACACATTAGAGAGTTGTCAAAACTGAAGTGGTGTCTATTGTTCTTGGGGAAGTGTTTGAAATATTTAATGGATCATTAACTGCAGATAAAGCCCCTACATCCTGCAAGATATGAATGTCAAGGCCCCAAACCTAGAACTGGAGTGGGGGAGGCCATAAGAAGCTCTTCCAGCACAATCCCAGAGAAGACCACTATCTCCTGATGGTTAGCACAGGAACAGCATCTTCCAAGAGGAAGAGGCAGGTACCACTTTGAGCTTCTGATAAGCAGGGAAGTTCATGAGACTTTTTTTTTTTTTGTCAGTCCTGGAGCTTGAACTCTGGGCCTTGGAGCTATCATTGAATATTTGTTAGTACTCTACCACTTGCGCCACAGCTCAACTCCTGGTTCTCTGTGTGTTGGTAATTTAGTGAGGATAAGAATCTCATGTACTTTCCTACCCAGACTGGCTTTGAACTGAAGTCCTTAGATCTCAGCCTCCTGAGTAGCTAGGATTATAGGTGTGAACCTCCAGTGCCAGGCTTCCACTAGACTCTTAACAAAGCTCAGAATAGTACCCAGGAGCTGGGCACCGGTGGCTCACTCTTCTAATCCTAGCTACTCAGGAGGCTGAGATCTGAGGATCGTGGTTCAAAGCCAGCCGGGGCAGGAAAGTTCTTGAGACTCACCTCCAATAAGCCGCTAGAAAACCAGAAGTGGTGCTGTGGCTCAAGCGGTAGAGCGCTTGCATTGAGCTGAAGAGCACAAGGACAGAGCCCAAGCCCAGAGTTCAAGCCCCACGACAAAAAAACAAACAAAAAGAATAGTACCCAGGCTCTGAGTTCAAGCCCAGAACCAGTACAAACACACACACACACACACACACACACACACACAGTCATTCATTCCTGTTAGATGGGACATATATTGGTGTATAGGAAATGGCACTAGTGTCCCACCAAAATCATTTATTAGAGAACCATGGCTAATATAGCTGAATTAAACAGAAAGTTTTATTGTTAAAGCTTTTCTTATTTTTGCCTGAAAATTAAGATATGGCCTATTTGTCCCTGTATAATTTGACAAGGGCAAAATTCCCAGACTTGAAGGTAAGATGATAGAGGATCAGATGATGGTATTATTATATTGTATGTCAAGCTATACCTGTCCTATGTTTGGGTCTACCAGAAGTCAGAAGTTAGGACAGCCTTCCAGTAATCATTTCATAGGGATTGAGATGCAGATTAGCTTAGGGACAATCCTTACCACCAATAAAGCAATGAACAATACCAATTCCAATGTCTTGGCATAACCTGGCTAACTAATGTTTTCTTCAGGACTTAGTTGCTTCTTCCCATCTTCCCAGAAGACTGAGGCGGCCTCCAGGCTGAATGCAAGTAACAGGTGATTCCAAGTGCTTGGTCCACTGACTGGGTATCCTTGTCGTCCTTGCCATCGTTCACTCTACAATATTCTTGGGAGCCCCAGACTTAGCCTATTTCTTCTAATAGTATCTGGCTACCTCTAACAGTTTTACTGTCAATTTCCATCATTGAGCAGGATTTGGAAGTTTGTGGTTCAGAGAACACAAAATAAAAGATAGTTCCTTTATCAATAAGGAAACTTCAAAGAAACCTAGGCCTCCTCCCATCCAACATGGATAGCTGTAGAGGTGACTGCATGGACACAGCCATCTTGTTGCCCTTCATGGCTTGGTCCCAGCTCCCTTTGTACTCCTTCAGCAGCCACTTTGCTTACAGAGAGATCAGGATGTTTTCAGAAGCTGGTGTTCCATGACATTCTTTGCTCCAATGTCCCACTTGCTGACAGTTGTAGCAGATGCCTTTTCCGTACCAAACTTTCTCAGTGTTGCAAAAAAGTGGGCTTGCCCTTGAGACTTTAATCTCTCCCTCTGCTTCCCCTCCTCCATTTGTTCCTTGTTAGTAAAATAGGTTCCCAGAATTATTCCTTCCTGAGATCATGTTAGTCAGGATGTAAATCAGAATGTACTTCCTAAAGGCTATTAAGACCCTATCCTTAAAAAGGTCTGGATTCTCATTTGGCTCCTGAGTTATTCTTCAAGTTGTCAAAGTTAACCTGTTTGCTGGCATTTCTTCATGCCCTCCTGGAAGCACAGGTTCATTGTTGGAATAGCTAGTTTATGAATTACCTTTGCTTTCCTGATTTGACTGATAGCTCTGTGTGTGTGTGTGTGTGTGTGAGCCCAAGTGTTGGGTCCTGCCACTGCCGCGAAGGGAAGAGTATAATTTATTACATCATCAGCATGTTGGACAGCATCTGAAATACAGTGCATCTCACTGAGATCTACAAAAGGAGAGAAGCACAAAAGATACAACAAAAGCTGAAAACAATGTCCCTGGATTTCTACACAAAGCAACCTAGATCCTCAGAGTCTACCTAGTTTCTGCCTTCATTAATGTCCCTTATTGGAAAGGAGACATTGTCCTTAGTTCTGTTTCCTCTGGCTGCCAATCCTGCTTGGAAAGGGCACCTCAGGACTTAGAAGGGGTCCTACAGAGCATATGGTGAGGGCTTTGTTGAGACTTTTGAGACTAGCAGAGGTTGTTTTTACCTTCTGAAAATAAATAGGAACTTTTAATGGGTTTTTCTTGATAGAGTCAAACTCTTTCTAAATGTTTTCTCTCGTTTAAATATCTTAGCACAAATATCTTGGACCATTTCCTTTGCCTTCAAAAAAACAAGATGAAAAATGGTACTGAATACATATTAGCTCACATTTAACTTCTATCAGTGATGGAGAAGAGACCAGAGCAAGCCAGAATAGGACAAAACATAACAAACACATGAACTGAGAAGCCGTATGTTCAAAATAGTATGAGCTAGGAGCCTGAGTACTCTTAACTATCCTGGTCATTTGGGATAACTTTGAGTGACGAGATTCTCACTCTTGGAGATTATATTTTAGTGGGAGCATGTTGTATATAGGCAATGGACAAATTTGAAAAAAATAAACACTAGGGTGTGTAGTTTTAGTAAGTAAAAAAAAAAGCTTTCAAGGAAGAGTTCCTTAGAAGTATGGAAGACACCATGGGCACTGTCCTTCATTCAAACAGCCCAGTCAAGGCTATTTCTGAGTAAAGGTTTGAAGGAAGGGATATAGTGACCCACAAGGTTATCTGGGGAGTTTTCCTAGTAGGAGAACACTAAATATACTAGTGTTCCAGCAGTGAGTGAGAGAGAGAATTGTGAGAAAGGAGATCAGGGATAAAGAGCAGTGAGTAGAGATCATGTGGGGACATATGGGTTTACTGAGAACTTAGGCTTTCAGTAAGTAAAATAACTGAGTAGAGGAATGACTTTTTTTGTTTTTTTAAATTATGCTGGCTTCTGGTGAGAGTCAGAATTTCAATGGGAGCTGGTCTCAACTAGGTCAGAGGTTCGGGATCTGATGCACTAGAGTCAGCACTAGCTATGATAGCAGTTCTCAAAGTGTTATTCCTAGACTAGCAACATCGTTACCTGGTACTTAGAAATACAAATGATCAGACCCTACCCAAGACCGAAAGTATGCTCTAGTCACTTGAGAAGCCTGAAAATGAGGTTGCTAGAAAAAAATTACTGGATGAGGACAAATAAAGCAAATAAAGCTTTTTTTTTTTTTTTTTTTGCCTTGACATTCTGAGACACCAATTAAAAAGGAGGGGAAATTAGGGGACTGCAATACAACAGTATACGGATTCTTCAAGGATCCCCAATAACCAGCGTTGAAACCACTGCAAGAGGGAGTTCTAAAAGTCATAATCACATGCAACTGGAATGATGGCTCAACATCATGCTTGAGAATAATTGGTTTATTTGTTTATAATTAGCAGCTTATTATCTTGAAGCCAATCTCATAAACACCAACATATTGATTTTACAGACTCTTTAAACAAAAGATCATGAATTCTGATCCTTAAATATTCTGTGACAGACCATGCTAAGAAGCTACCTCTGAGGGGGAAAAGATATTCTTATGTTGTAAATTTAAGAAAATAGGCATTTTTAGAAAATTAATGGTAAAAAATATTAAGGAAAAGCTTTTCATTAGAAAACACAAAACACCAACTCATGTAAAATAACTCATAAATGGAGTAGAAACAAGTATTAGTTTTAAAAACATCTGACATGCTTGACTTTCAACTACCTCAGTATTAAAACACATGGCTTTTCTCAGGACACAGTTGTAAACCCAAGTACTGATCTGACTGCAAAGTCACCAATGATCAAGTGAATTTGGTAAATCCCTTAAACAACACTACTGTTTAGATTGCTATTTGACTCTTGCTTCATTAACAAAAACTGTTTTTAAGAACTTAATTTTTCTAAGTCCATTTTAAATTATTTTTTTTCCTGTGCTAGTACTGGGTCTTAAACTTAGGATCTCGATACTGTGCCTTCATTTTTCACTCAAGGCTGGTACTCTAGCACTTGAGCCATAGTTCCCCTCCTGGCTTTTTGCTGGTTAACTGAGGATGAGTCTCATGGACTTTCCTGCCTGGGCTGGCTTTCAACCACAATCCTTAGATCACTACCTCCTGAGTAGCCAGTGTTATAGGTCTGAGCCACTAGTGCCAAGCTCCCATTTTAATTTTTACAACTTCATTACTTGATTATACTCACCATAGAAAAATATAATTAAAAATAAAAGAAAAAATATCCAGTACATGGCCTCCAGATATAATGAAAGATTATATATTTTTCCTTCAAGTCTTTTTATACATCAATACAGTATTTTTGTTGTTGTTGTTGTTGGTCGTGAAGCTTGAACTCTGGGCGCTGTCCCTGAGCTCTTCAGGTCAAGACTAGCACTCTACCACTTGAGCCACAGCGCCATTTCCTGTTTTATGAGTGGTTTATTGGAGATAAGAATCTCACGGACTTTCCTGCCTGGGCTGGCTTTGAACCATGATCCTCAGATTTCAGCCTTCTGAGTAGCTAGGATTACAGGCTGAGCCACTGGCGCCCCGCTTCAACACAGCATTTTTAAGATAAAACTAGTACTGTAAAATTTGTTATTTTTAAAAAAAATTTCCTACTTTAGAACAATTTCCTTAGGACATTACTATGTGAAAATATGATCTTCAGTTGATTGTTTCACAGCGTAATTATAACTAAACCTCAACTTACCTACAACTGTTGGATATTCAGATTATTTTGAGTATCTGCTATTAGAAGCAACACTATTTAACATCCTTCTTTATACAAAGTTCTTCACATGTATCTGATAATTTTTAGAGAAGTTCCTAGAAATACCCAACAAAGTGCATAAGTACTGTCAAGCTTCTGATGTATTTTGATAAACTGACCTCCAAGAAGACTGTACCAACTTATGATCATATCAAAACAAGCAGCCTGAGCCCTATTTTCTTTCTCATATTCTCTGGCAACAAAGAATACTGGATATTGTCCCCAATTTTTTGTTGCAAATTTAATGGGGGGGGGTGAAATGGGATCTTTGGTTTTTCCCTAAAATGTAAAGTTTTCCCTGTTCATTGGTCATTTGCTTCTCTTCTGCATCCTGAACAAGTGTCAGTCTTTTCAGCGGAGTCTGTAATACATTCAATGTCTTGTCTTTCTTACCACATTCTTCTTCTGATATAGGCAGGGGCATGTCTTTCCCCTGTTCTTCAAGTAAAACTCTCAATATGACTAGTAGCAGAAAGTCTTCTTTTCTGGGGGCAGTCATGCTTTCTTTTAGTGTCTTGGTAATAAAACAGAAAACTGGGCCATGTTCTGAAAGGAAGAAAGCAGGCAGAGATGATAAGTGCTGCAGGTGGGCATGCTAATTATCTGGATTGCTTGTTAGAACATATTTAAAACAACAAAACCCATTCAGATTTTGTTTTTGTTGATTAGAGTGAGGACTTTATTTTTAGGTGGGGACTCTCTTTAGATTGGCATGTGTGCCCTTTCGATATGTCCCATGGTGCTTTTTGGGAAATAAGATATCCTAGGTTCATCTTCTGTCCTGCCAAGTGCAGGGACTGTTTATTTTTTGAGGAAGTCCCAGGTCATTTTAGTGAACAAGCACATTTAGAAGATCTGGGTTAAGGCATGCTTTTCAGAGTGTCATTGCTCTTGGAAAGCCTCAATGGATGGCACTAAGAAATACAGGAACGCAAATCCACTAAACCAGAGATTCTATCACCTACTTTATCACCTAATCTGTATCTCTAGATTCTCCTTGACTTACAATGGGATTACAACTTGATAAACTCACCCAAAACTGAAAACATGCATCACATTCAACTTGCAAACATGCACTACAGACTAGAAGTTCTCACCTTCCTAATCTCAGAATTTAATGGGGAGCTTCAGCTTGCTACCAGCCTGGCTCCAGAATATATTATCTTTTCATTAGACTGGGAGAACATGGACCCCACCAGCCTCAATAACCTTGTTTAGCCTGACAAAATGGGTTTTGGATAAATTTTTCATGAAAGGAAAGGAAGAAAGAGTGAACAAGACAACAAAACAACCATCTGAAACCTCTCTGGCCTGCCCATGATGGGAGACTGCTCTCTCCTGCAGGTCTCAGGAGACACTGCCTTCTGTAGACTCCAGGGGATCATATGGGTGAGTGGCTCTGCTTATGTTCAGCCTTCTTCCCTATCCCTCTGTGCCTCAGTCTCCCCACCTGAGAAATGAAGATGGATGCAGCATCTACCTCTCTCTTATCACTAAAGAGATACAATGTTCTAGACCCAGGTTGCATGGGCCTTGAAGAAGCATTGCCTACCCAGGGCCTTGTCCAGCCTTCCCCTATACTGTTCCAGGCCTCCTACTGTCCCTTGCCCAGGCAATGTTGTATCTGACAAACTTTGAAATCTTTCCTCTCACCCTCTAGGAATTCTTTGGAAGTACATTTAAGTTTCCAAGGGGAGAGCCCTAGCATTTTTATTTTTCACACCATCTGAGCTATGACAATTGTAACAAGGTTGGGCTTGGCTGAGGGCAGACCGTAGTCTCTGCCTCTTGCTGGAACACATCTGGGCTGAGTCAGACACCATCTGGTGCCTCACCTACCAAAGTGCTGGTGGCTGGTCTAAACTATGGCTCAAAAGAGGCCTCCTGTCTTCAGATGTGAGTAGGGTGAGATCCCATCTGATTCCTAGAGTGGAGTTGCAGGCCTTCTTTTCCTTCCCAGCCTTCTCTTCAGAGGGTCTCAGGGCAGGAGGTCCTTGGATGGCCTTTTCTGAGGTTGGTTTCTACCATTTCTGGCTGCAGAAAGGCTTGGGAGCCTACTGCTCAAGAGGAATTGTGAATTAGGAGCTCAATTATTCCTGGCGTCACTGGCTCCATGCTGCCTCCTCTATATACTAATAGTTCCCATTTATAGTCATCTTCATTTGTATCTGAAGACATTTCCTCCTAAAGGTCTGAAGGGTTTTACCACTGGGCCACCTTCCCAGCCCCTCTACTTCCTTTTTGTTTGCTGCTACCAGGTTCTGAACTGAGGCTTTTCATTCTCTTTATTTTTCCAATATCAAGTTATAACTTAATTTTTAGGCCTTGTGGTCTGTTTGGCTTTCTTGCTCATGAATGGCACTCTACCACTGGAAAACAAATCTTTCAGACTTTCTAGCCAGGCTGGCTTTGAACCATGATCCTCCAAGTCTCAGTCTCCTGAAAAGCTAGGATTACAAGCAAGAGCAGCTACTGATATCTGGCCTAAACTAAACATCTAAACCAAATTCACTAATTTATAGAATATATTTTTTGTCTCTTTTTCTTTTTTCTTAAAATTAAAATGGTACTAGGGTCTGAACTCAGGGCCTTGTGCTTGCTAGGCAAGTGGCTCTATCATCCCTCGCTATCTGTTCTTCATAGGTTAAAAAAAAATGGTTTCCTACGTCTGAATACTTATAACACATTTAAAGGCAAAGAAGAGAGTATCATGTATTCATTGAAAGCCATTTTCATTAATACCATTTGTTTACTATAGATATATACATGATTGAAACCAAGGGATGTGTTTTCTAGTAGTAAAGGGATTTTTGGCCTTCCCAACTTTTCCAGTCTTAGACGCTGAGTCACTGATGTTGCAGCGATGTGCTGGAGTCTGCTTGTACCAGCTTGTGCGTGCCACTTCCTAACTTCTCATTGGCTCTGGGTTGGTAGTTTCAAACCAGCTTTGCTAGATAGAGCACTCACACTGTGTAAACCAGCGATTATTACACACCACTCTTATCACACAAAACTCCTGGCTCCAGTTCCTGGGCTCCTAGATGGCATAGGTTGGGAGGGTTCCCATCAATCTTTCATATTTTTCCTCAGCTTCTGTCATAAAACCCAAGAGTATAGATGTACTCTAGGACATCTCAAGAAAGAGCCTCTTTAGATACCAGGATAAATACACAAACTCAAAAAATTTGAGGCAACTCTTACCCAATGTGGGTAAGACATCCACATGACATCATGTGTTTTGATCTTAAGAATACACTCTAGGACAATGTGAAGCATGTGTGACACTAGATAAGGAAACTCTCCTGACCTCAGTCTCCAAAGCTCTTAGCCAGAAAGTGATTGTACAGCTTCATAAGGGGCTGGTACAGTAGTAAAGGCATGAAACTCACTGAAGATAAATCCAAGTTTGCATAAAAAAACATGAAGAGATAGACCAAATGTGAAATTCAAGTAAGAGAAAAAAGGAGCTAACGATCTACAGGAGAGTCTGCTTACAGATGTGGAAGGACACTTACCTTCAGGTTATGGAGAGTTTCTGACCATTCCATGGACCCTATCTGAGGTATGGTAGTAAGCAGTAAACTTTTAGCTTTATTGGCATTTTCCTTCAGGGTCTTTAAAACACGGTCCACTGAAACCTGGAAAAACAACAACATAGGATTTCATTAAAATTTAAAAGTCCATTGCTTTCTGCAGAACATTTTTCTGCATTCCAGCCTTGCTATGGTGTGCATGTTTGTGTCCCTCCCAAATACATCTGTTGAAACCTAATCCTCAGGAAAGAGTATTAGGACATTTGAGAGGTGATCAGGTGGTAAAGGAGAGGTTCCCTGAATTGGGACAGAGGTTACAGAGTACTCCTTCACTCTTTAACCACGTGAGGTTCAGTGTGGAGATGTCTAGGAGGAAGTAAGTTTCCCTGTACATCGAATCAGCTGGGACTCCTCAAACTCTAAAATTGTGAAGACTGACCTTTTTTTGTGTGTGTCTCAAAGTTTAGCCTAGGTATTTACCTGTGATAGTTACCTGCTGTGACAGCAGCCTGAATAGACAACACAAACCTAAGCCAAACCCGTTTAATACAAACTCAAGCCCTGGAGCCCAAACACTTCACTTATCACAATAGTTTCAGTTCTGGGGAGAAACCTATTGGTATTTCTGAAAAGCACTGAAAGCTCTCAACAGGGTATATGAAAAATTACCTCAGATTAACAGAGTTTTAAAATATGGCTGTTCTCCCTGTCCACAGTAGAATATTTTCTAGTCTTAAAAGGGTTGCTGTATTGGATAACCAAACAGAAGGGATATGTGTGTGTGTGTGTGTGTGTGTGTGTGTGCACACATGCTTGCTGGTACTAGGGCTTACTTGGATGCTGTTCCTTAGCATTTTTGCTCGATGAGGTGACCTACCACTTGAAACTCCAGCTCCACTTTTGGCTTTTTGGTGGCTAATTTGGAGGTTAGTGTCTCATGGACTTTCCTGCTCCAGCTGGCTCTGAACTATTATCTTCAGATCTCAGGCATCTGAATAACTAGGTCAACAGGCATGAGCCACTTGTGCTGGTCTAGCCTCCATTTTAAGTCTAAGTACTAATGAATTAATAGATTGGCTGTTAATGTCACAAACCAACAAAGAAAACTAAACTAACCAGTCAAACAAACAAAAACAACCCTACTTAAGCCAGGTGGTGGTGGCTTACACCTATAATCCTACTTAAGAGGTTGAGATTTGAGGATTGTGGTTTGAAGCCAGCCTAAGCAGGAAAGTCCATGAGACTCCTATATTCAATTAACCACCAAAATACAGGAAGTAGAGCTATGGTTCAAGTTGGTAGAATGCTAGCCTGGAGCAAAAATGCTCAGGGACAGAGTCTGGGTGCCAAGTTCAAGCCCCAGGACTGACACATATACACACCCACACATGAACCCAGTCAATATGTGCTTCCAGACAGAATATAACAAAGCACCATTTACATTCTTGAGTTTGATCAAATCTCTACCAATTTACAGAAAACATGGAAAATAAAGAAGTCTGTTAGATTTTAGTTTTTAGATTTTAGTAATCAGCAAACTTAAACTATGAGAAACTCAACAGGACAAGGGCTTCCTTCCTCTCTTTCCCCCTCCATTTTGTTGAGAAAGCTCTCTTGTAGTACAAGTTGGCCTGGACCTCATAATATTCCTATCTCTGTCTCCCATGTGCTGGAATTTTAGGCATGTGCTATCATGCCCAGAACTATGATTTCTTTATAGAAATGTTACTAGAAAAAAACAACATAAATTACTGTTAAGATACAATGTGATTATGTTTGATACTTTCTGAAATATTTCTGGATTAAAATCATAGATGAAATGTGACTGGTCATAAACTGATGGAATAATTGATGTACTTAGAAAAAAGGTAAGAGCAGCATGAGTGAGGAAGTTTCCACTACTGTGTAACACAAAACAGTGGCCAGCTGGGGACTTGCCAAATACAAGATAAGGCCTGGCTTTAGCTGAGTCATAGAATGCAGGGACATGAAGTGGCCAAGAGCTTTACCTTACTCTTACTTTTTCTATGAGCTTTTCCTGTGACTGATACATCTACACTGATTCTGACTTCTCTTGCCTTTGTTTCTGCTCTTGGGCTCCACCCAAAATGCCCTTCCTACTGACCCTGTGACTCACAGGAAAAAATCTAACCCTCTATTCAAGGTCAACTCAAACCTCATAAGTTATAATCTTTGCAAACTTTTCTGACAATACTCCCCCTTCCCAATTCCCTTGTGCTTACCATCTGACAACCACCCTCCTGTGAGCGAATGCTCTACATATACTACTGGATTTATCCTCCTAGTAATTCTGCAAGGTCAAAATTATAACTAAAGAAACCCTACCCCCAAGTTAGACAAGAAATGTAATCACTACCTTACTTATGTATCTGTAACCTTCTGAGTATCACCTCAACAATAACATTTTTTAAAAAAAGAAACTCCATCCCTCAAACTCAAATCTGGCTTTATGCCGCAGTAAGGCAACACATCAAACAACTTCCCTAGTATTGGTAGTCATGGAGAAATTAGAATTAAGGGCAGGTTTAGGCAACTCTAGATGCTTCTTTGCCATGCCAGGTCATATATTTGTTTAAAGCCCAATGCCACATGACTGGCTGAGTTGATGTCATCTCTGTGTATGTGTCTCCTCTGGAATTAACTAAGTTTGTCTTCATGACTAAACGCTTAGACAGAGTTTAGTTTCTCTGTTTTTGAATAAGTATCTCTGGGTGCTTTTCAACCTTCTGCAAGGGAGGCATATGTGTTAAGACTGACAGAAAACTCCAAGCAAAAAGCAATCCAGCCAAGCTGGAGCTTTTCCTTTTTTTTTTTCCCCCTAAAATTAATTAATTGGAAGCAGCTTCACAAAAGTCATGAGGCTAAATTGTCCCATGAGTTACAAAGTTGCCAAACCAAACATCATGGTATAATTTAAGTTAGGATTTTCACATATCTTACATAAAAAGGTATATTACTACTTAGCAACAGCATATCATAATGAGGAGTCAAAATAAAGAACTCACTAGGAAGAAAGAATCTAGTTTCACCTGTGTCCCCAAACACTGCACACATGAACAGATATGGCAAGAATACCTTGCCTTGTTTTCTGTGAAACCACCAGCACCAAGAATATAGTTAGGCAGCATCTACACTTCTTGCTTCAAAATTCATTCACTATAGTTTTGAAAAAAGAGGGAATATTAGATTAAGAAGAATTTTAAGAAGCATACCATAAATATACAACATGTGGATAGTAGGGGATCATAATTTGACCAAACTTTTTAAGATCAGAAGGAAAATGAGAATAATCTCAGCATTTGATTATATTAAGAAATTAATACTGTTTCAGTACAATAATGGTGTTGCGGTTATTTTTCTTTAAGTTGAAAGAAGACTTTTAATTTCAAAATGAGAATGGGGGTGAAGGGGTGGGGGAAGAAGTTATATAGGGGACTATCTAAAACAGGAGATTAGCCATAGTTGGTAACTGTGCAGTTGGGTTTCATAGATGTTTAATGTTTTCTACAGTAAAAACGTTTGTTTTGAAAGCTTAACTTCAATGTTCAGTATCCTCAAAGTCTAGCTAGATCTTGTTTCCCCTGCCTAATACCTCCTCACCCCCATAGCCAAATTAAATCCCTACCAGTCTGTAGGCCCTGCTGTAGCTAGATCATACTTCTCCCTCTCTCTGCTTCTCAATCATGTCCTTTCTCAACACACTTAAGCCAGGAAGGGTTCTCAGACTTTCAATCTTGGTTTAGTCATTTGGATAGTACTTCTTCATCTCACAACATTGTTTCTTCCTAAACCTTTAGTTTTCTTATTTTGCTAATTTCTGCTTTCTTCCTAGAAGGACTTATCTATTTACACAGCATCCAGCAGTGGTAGGTTTAATAGATGGATAGACAGAATCTTTTTCCCCCTGAAAGTAAATGTAATAAATGTAGCACTGCTCAAGGAAATTACAGTCAAAATACACCTTTATCCTTAAAGTAAGGTTAACTCTCAACATGATTCTTAATAGCCACGTCTACAACGTAATTTTAACTGTCGATCCTTGGATGAGTTCTCCTGCTTTTGCCATAAGGATCTTTGTTCATAATTTCCAATGAGACCTCTACAAAATATCTGCTAATACCTAATACTTTTAAAACTTTGTAGAGAGAGAGACACTTTCTGGAAGTAATACAGAAGGAATAAAGATGCACCCTTAATGGCTCATTAAAACTTAGAAACCCACACATGTTGAGAAGAAAATGCCACCTACTGCTTCTTCATGCTCCTTCCAGCAATCGTAATCTGTCGCCATGGCGATGCTTGCATAGCAAATCCCAGCCTCCTTAGCAAGAACCACCTCTGGAACTGTGGTCATATTGATGACATCTGCCCCCCAGGTGCGGAACATGAAGCTTTCTGCTCGAGAGCTAAAACGAGGCCCCTCGATTGTGACCATTGTCCCCTTTGAGTGGCATCGAAGTCCTAGCTTCTTAGCAGTCTCTATGAGGACCTAGATAAAGAAGAACAAACTGAAAACATACAGTCAAGCTATGATTTTATTTCCCCCTGATGTTTAGCAAGTTAATTACTTAAAATATGCCCTCACTCTATACTCATTTACACAGTTCTCCCAGCCCCCTGAACACATAGTTCATAGCTACCAGGGCAACACGGGGCTTTCTCTGTACTCCACATGTTCCCTTATGTGCTTTAATGCCATCTCTTTTGAACAACTTCAGGAAACTAATGTAGGCTATGAATCCAGACTTGATTCCTAGCTCTTGACCTCTGAGGCTCCCCTAAGGTGCTTCTTGTATTCCCCCCTCCCCACCAGCCCCCAACAGCTGTGCTGAATTCTACTTCCTGAGCTCTTGAAAAATTAGCATTCACTTCTCTTTCATACAGAATCTGCAGCCTTTTAGAAAATCTTTGTTTTGGGGTAGAAAATGATTTCTCTTTTGCCTGTTGCAATTCCCAGAATCTATAGTGAAGCGAGAAGGGGGCTATACTGACTTTCTTCTGTCCAAGAAATTTACCTTGGGGCTTTCTTTTATTCTCTGAACAAGTATTTTAGAACTATTAAAACTTTCATTGTTTTGTCCAGAGTTTTCAAATTAATAGTTACCTCTATCTTCAAATTATCAGTTATTTTTCCTACTGTCTTAGCCTGAGCTTTAACATTCCCTTTGTGTGTGAGGTGGTGGTGGTGGTGGTCTTTGTTTTGGAGTACTGAGGTTTGAACTTAGGGCCTCCCATTTGCTAGGCAAGTGCTCTATCACCTAAGCCATATCTTCAGTCCTTTTGTCTTTATAGTTTGTTTTCCAGATGGGGTCTCTGTTTTTGCCTGGATGGGACTAAGATCTTGATCTTCCTATCTCTTCCTCCCACATAGCTGGGATTATAGATGCATATCACCATGCCCCCAGCTTTCAAAATTTTTAAATCAAATTAGTAACTATTAACCACTAAAACACCATTGAAAGTACTTAACGTCTTTATGCTTTATTTTTCTTGTCTGTAATAATATTGTATAATTCAGATATTACAAGGATTAAATAAGGCACACAGTAACACAAAACTGTGCTGGGAACATTGTAAACACTATTTAAATGCTAATGTAGTCCTTTAATGATGATTGGTACCGGAAGCTCCTAAATCTTTTCCAAATAACAGGCAAAAGGCCTTGGGACATTACATATCTAAAATGGAATAACTCAAAGTCAAAAGATTTAGCAGTGGATAATGAACATATCAAAATATAATGTACTTGGGGCTGGGAAGTTGGCTCAGTGGTAGAGCGCTTGCCTTGCATGCCTGAGGCCCTGGGTTTGATTCCTCAGTACCACATAAGCAAAAAGAAAAAAGCCAGAAGTGGCGCTGTGGCTCAAGTGGTAGAGCGCTAGCCTTGAGCTGAAGAGCTGAGGGACAGCACCCAGGCCCAGAGTTCAGGCCCCACGACTGGACCAAAAAACAAAAACAAAATATTATATTTATCTTGCCTTCAAGTGTCTTTCAATCCATCTGTATATCCTGGCTAAACTTCACAGTGGTTTCATATACCTACCTATCTACCTACCTACTTACCTACATAGGTCCTCACCATTACCCTAAGAGCTAAGTACCCTGATTATAGGAAAGGAAAAAGGAGACTTACTGATATGGGTTGAAACATATGGGCTGACAACACCATCTTAAGGCAGCAGAAAAAAAAACTATTGGGTCCAATTTAAGTTCTGAGGTAAGATGATTTCATGTCTTTGTCTTACTGAAGCTATTAAAATTCTCATAGGGGAACTAGCAACATGAGGTTACCAAGTTAAATATACTTAATGTGTCAGAATTTGCAGAATATCTCTCGAGATGACTACAAGTTGGTGCCATTTCCACAATAGTTAATAAATTGATTCACTGTGACAATCTTTCCTCACGAGTAAGTAAAAGATACATTGGTACTGAAAGCAAGCATTACCAAGTGGCAAAAATCAGCTACTTTTTACACTTTCTAAGATAGTTTAAAAGCTCTTTCTTAAGGAAGAAAAACAAAATAATGCTCTATCGACTTATTTTTGCCATTTTCTCAACTGCCCTCCCCAGCATTCACTCAGTTCTTGGTTTGACTAGTACTAGCTGAATCAGTTTGATTTGAGGGGGTTAAATTATATTGGAAACTGACACCACAGTACCACATTGATATGCACTTTATGCAGGTCAGTGGTGCTTCCTATTCCCAGCCAACTCCTAGTTCTCCAAGCCACTGGTTTCTTCTTGGCAACGAATCTCAGATTTCACGCTGACATGCATATCCTCTCTTAGCCTATTTTTCTAAGCAGCCTCTATATTCACATAGACAAGAATTTTATTCCTACTTCATCTCACCCTGAGCAGCAAATGTCTTTTGGTCAGTGCTATATTTGAGAGTAAGATTAGTAGTAGCATGAAATGAAATTATCTAGAGACATATATATACAATGATATGAAATTATATTATATATACACATATAAACTTAATCTGCTATTTTTTAAGGTTAAAAAAGTGTACCTTTCATACAACTCATAAAGAATCAATATGCAACAGTATAACTGAAATACCTTCCTTCCACAAGTCCCATCTAAGAATCTGGATTTGTGTCTGAGATCAGAGTAAAGTTCAGATATCCTTGCTGTTCTCTACAGAAACTGGTTTCTCATAACTACCTAGGGCTGAACATAAAAAGCTAAAAGAAATAATGTACTTTCTACATGCAGGTGTTAAACCACCTGAACAAGTGTTATATTCACTAAATGAATTTGAAAGATATATTTTACTAAGCAGTTCTGGCAACAGTTCGGTCTTTTGAGTTGTGCTTGACTTTCAAACCTAAGACTGTAAGAATAGCACATGTGGATCAGGCAATGACATAAGAGTTCCAACAGACATTTTTTACTTTCTGAGAACTACAACTTAGGTTCTTTACTTTGTATCATGACTAGCCTTGATGTTGCTACATTGTTTACTACAATGTTGGAGAAGAGGCAAGATAATGAGCAAATGAGCACACTCAAACTGGCAAAAAAACGAAACTGATCCATTGTTACATTATCCATAGTAATGTCATTCACCAACCATAGGGTGTTCTGTATTGACAGGCACAGGTCAAGACACTTGTAAAGTTTTACCTTTCATAGGACAAACTTGACCCTAAGTAATTTAATTTCATACTATATACTCATGACTAATATGTTACCCTATAAATATTTAAAAGGTATCCTGACAAACTTGAAGTGTACTAAAAAAGAAAAGTAGGTCACAACTCTGAGTACTTCAGATAACAATGACTGAGTAGCAGCATTATTAACAAAGGGAAAACACTCTTTATAAAATCTTTTTTTTTCATTGTGAAAATACTGTACAGAGGGGTTACAATTACATGGGCAAGATAATGAGTACATTTCTTATCAAGCATTGTAGCCTCCTCCCTTGTTTCCCCTTCCCCTCCTCCCCCACCCCCCCATCCTCCCCCCTCCCAAAGTTGTAAAGTTTCTTTTTGACATAACGAAAAATCTTGTATTAATAAGCACACTTGAGGGAGAAAAAGGGCCCACCTGCTCAACCAACTGATATAACTGCAGAGGACACCTCAAGCTCTTATGCTCTATTTTGATACATTTTCAAGAAAGACTACAAACCTCTCTTGTTTTGGGGCAAAATGGCTCAGCCATTGGAATATGACACACTCCTCTTGCACAGGAATGACTCCCATCATAGAAGGTCTGAGGCCTTATCAAGGTCCTACAAAAAAAGAAGAATTAATAAAGCAAAAGTTTCTTTTTCTTTTCTAAGCCACCTGGTCCATCCTCTGAAGGTCAACCCTTTAGTTTTCGGTCCAGAATCTACAGCTGCAGATAAGATGATGACAGGTTCAGGACAGTATGTGGCTCTTTGATATGTTCCTTAACAGAATATTAAAGTGTGACCATATGTGATGGAAGGTACAACTGAACCATGGATTCAAGGTGAGCAGGTAAACGCTTAAGTCAGTCAGAAATGTCTCACTCTCTCAAATGCACAGGACTACAGAATGAACCAGATATACCTATTGCCCAGATTCATGAATTCCCCAAAATTTGTCGAATTTGCTTCATTTGTCCACTTTTTCATGGGTGCAAATCCCAGGCTTTCATGCAGACCTTGTGCAAGTTTCATCAATGTCCCAAAAAACTCTTTACATCACATTTCACAGTCAAGTCTCCAAATTAAGAATAAATCCAGTTTCCAACCCCAAATATAATTTTCAGGCTAATGGCCCTGAAGAAGCTGTTATCTTACGCCCCACACGAGGTCTCTTTCCTGCTTTATTTAGCTTCTTCTTCTACCACTAATTTCTCAAGAGTCTTAGAGTTCAGGTTTTTTGGTAAATCAGCTTTGAATCCTAAAAAGAGTGGCTAAACACGCTCAGAGAGACAAAGGGTGCAGCTTTTCTCTTATATGCGAAAACTAGACCTAAAACACACTGGGATGTGATAAAATTATACAGGACTCTAGGCATTCACACACAGTGAGACCGAAGGATACTCTTAGGAGAGGAACACAAAGGCGCAATCTATGTGCATCTGATCATATAAAGATTTATCAAAATAAACCCCAGGAAATGGAACAAGCAGTTTTTTTCCCCCTTTGTTGCTGTTTTTGTTTTCTGTCCCGTTTGTTCATTTATTTGTATTTGGGAGGATAAGTGGGGGCATAGAAATGGAGGGACAAAGGGTGAACAAATGCAGAAGTGGTCCTCACTAGACACTATGTTGAAAATGAACTAGAGAGCGAAGGAATGGGTGACATTGTTCAAAAAGAAATGTACTTATTACCTGTCTTACATAACTGCAACTCCTCTATACATCACCTTTATAAAAACAATAAAAAATTAAAATTTAAAAAGAGTAGCTAAAATTAATCCAATGCCAAATCATTCAAAAATTACTTGCCATAAGTTTATTTTTTATTGTGAAAATACCGTACAGAGGGGTTACAATTACATGAACAAGGTAAGGAGTACATTTCTTATCAAGCATTGTTGCCTCCTCCTTTGTTTCCCCTTCCCATCTCCCCCACCTCGCACCAAAGTTGTAAAGTTGGTTTTTCGATATAAAGTCTTGTACACCTCATTGTTGCAATGAGTCCTCCTGTATCCCTATTTAAACAATTTATTTTATCTCCAAATGGCAGTAACAAGAAGGTTACAATTTAACATGTCCATGTTACTCCTTCTTGATCAGTTACCCTTTCCATCACTCTCCTTTTCTCTTGTTTTCATGAGAAAACTTTTTTTTGGTGTTGGTCTTGGGGCTTGAACTCAGGACCTGGGTGCTGTCTCCTGAGTTTCTTTGTGCTCAAGGCTAGTGCTCTGCCACTTGAGCACAGCTCCACTTCTGACTTTTCCTGAGTAATTTATTGGAGATAAAAGTCTCATGGACTTTTCTGCCCAGACTGGCATGATCCTCAGATCTCAGCCTCTTGAGTAGCTAGGATGATAGGCATGAGCCACTGTTACCTGGCTATAAGAAACATTTTTTCTTTTTAACTTATACTCATTAATAAAAACCCAAAAAATTTGAACTGATGAGTAACTCAGAAAAGATAGTCGATTTTTTCTAAAAAAGGAGGTAGAGAGAGGGGTGGGAAGGTTTTATGTGTCTATGGGAAAGGCTAAATTAATCCCCAAACAATTCCACTGGGGAATGAGTGACAGGTTAACTGACTGTTCCAGTCTACATCAACAGAAGCTTTTCTGTTTGAAAGATTAATCAAGAAAATGATGTCACACCCTCACCTCCAGCTGGGTTTGTCTTCAAGGAGACAAGTAACTGAAACATTCCCACTTAAAATTTTGATTATAAAAGCAGGCAAGAAGGATATCCACTGGTTTTACACCAGCATACCCCCTATTTTATCTCTCTGCCTGACTTGTCCTCCCTGTCTCTCCCTATCCTATCACCCTCTTATTCTGCCCTTGCTTTTAGTCTTAAGGTATAATACATATTATATTTTGCTGTGTTCTATTCATATGCTACTTGCTAACTAAATTCCCTCTTTCAAGACAGTTTATATATTTCTCTTTAACAAAGGTCCCTGAATTCCTAACTATACTGCTTATATCAAATAGTGAAGCCTGTTCAATTTTCCAATATTAAAAAAATAATGCTTGTCTATTCATTTATAAAGTCACCAGGATTAAATCCACCAGCAGATCTGAAGTAAGGTCTTGGCTAGAGACAACAAGCAGTCAGCTAAAGCTGAGGTCTCAGAGCATTCAACTCTGTAAGGGACCCCAGGGAAATAAGGACATTAAACCCTATGTTTCACTATCCTGTCACAACATCAGAAAGGCAGCTATAGGTAAGAAATGCTTCTTTATAGCCTACCTACCTATTTGTGGTGTTCTGCACTATTAACCTAAGGGTCACTTAAGTACAATGAAACATTAAATGACTGAAACAGAAATCTCTACGAAAAGCAGCTTAAGCTGCATAGCATCTATAATACAGAATACAATTCTGAGCAAGAACAATGGGATTTACCATCACAGCTAGAGTGGATGACGTCTCCCAAATAAATTTGACAATGAAATATATATAATTCTAAGAACATGTGACCTACCTCTGAAGGTCTTCATTAAAGAAATCAGATGTTTCACAATTCAGATAAGAGCCTGGAATAAATCTGCCATGCACATACCCGGAATAAGAATTATTACCTGACTAAGCTACAAATTCACATCCAATTTCCAGCCAAAATAGCTCTTATATATTGACAACTATAGTTCAACCATGTGCCAACCAGTGATAGTTCTGCCCCTGGATTTGAATTTCATCACTGAATGTGTGTCCTGAGCTACTTCAACAACCCAAGTTCTTTTAAGCCATGAGAAACATCTTCACTGATACAATCTTGAAACCTTGTGTGCCCTTCAGATTTCTATATTGAAATCCTAACCCATAATATGATGGTATTAGAAGGATGTACCTAAGTCATAGGGCAGTCCTCATGATTGATATGTCAGCAAGCCAGCTATTATCTTCCTGCGATGTGAGGATGGTACTCAGAAACCAACCCTCATCAAACAACAGATCTCTGGCATTTTTTTCTTGTATCTCTCAGCCTTTAGAAGGTGTTTAGCACTATCTTAGTCTATGGTATTCTATTTCTGTAGTAGCCTAAACAGGCTGGTGTAAGAATGCAAAGAAAGGGCTGGGAAGGAGGCTCAGTGGTAGAGTGCTTGCCTTGCATGCATGAGGCCCTGAGTTTGATTCCTCAGCACCACATGAGCAGAAAAAGGTGGAAGTAGCACTATGGCTCAAATGGTAGGGCACTAGGCACTAGCCTTGAGCTGAAGAGCTGAGGGACAGCGCCTAAGTCCAGAGTTCAGGCCCTATAACCAACCAACCAACAAACAAACAAAAAAAGAAATGAAAGGAAGAATGCAAATATTTCCAGTGGCTGTATCTCAATAGACTATAATACAGTGCGCCACCTTCATTTTACATATGAAATAATGTTCCCATGTCCATATGCTAATCCTCAGAACCTATGATTAGGGTAACAGGTTTAATTAAGACTACCATGAAGCTGACCAGAAAATAGAAAGATTATTCTGGATTAACTATGTGATAGCAATGTCAGCATAAGAATTCTTTCACAGGTAAGTGGGAAGCAAGAGCCAGAAGAGTGGTAGAAGAATTCTGCCCATCATTACTGGCTTTGAAGATGGATGGAGGCCATAAGCAAGAAAGGCAGAGCAGAAAGGGTGAGGGAATGGATTTCACCATAAGATCCAGAAAATAATGAGCCCTTGTCACCTTTGTTAGCTTTTTAGACCATGAGATCCATGTTATACTCCCAACTTGCAGAATCAGAAGATAATAAATTTGTGCTGTTCAAGCTACCAAGCTTGTGATCCTTTGTTGTTGTTGTTTTTATTGTGAAAATACTGTACGGAGGGGTTACAATTACATGGGCAAGATAGTGAGTACATTTCTTATCAAGCATTGTAGCCTCCTCTTTGGTTTCCCCTTTCCATCCTTCCCCCCCAACCTTGTGATCCTTTGTTATAGTAGCAATAGGAAGCAGAAATATACATTTCTGTGACTTTAAGAATGACCCACATATGGCTTCTATAGTAGTAATGAACTGTTCCTCAAAGTCTGCCTATGCTGGCTTCAACACCCTTTTAGCAAAGCAAAAATTTTCACTTCCCCATTGGCTTGGAATCTCATTGTAAAACACTTATTTCCGTCAGGCTTCCACTGGTCAGTTTTGTACGTTTCTCCTACAACCCAGTATGAATCTTGATGGGTTTTAAGTCATGGATACTCCCCAAATTACTGTCAAAGGGATATGCACTTAAAAAAAATGCACACATTAAAAAAAAAAAACAAACCTGTTGATTTTCAAGAGTGAAGAAACCAAATAAATTGTATACTGTCAAGAGAAATGAGTTCAAAATAGTCAAGGGGAAAACACTATACATTTTCAACCCATAGAACCTTACAGGTAGGCTGTTTGTTCAATCAAGACCCTTGAATGAGCACAAGGGCAGCTACTTGTTAGTATTTGTTCTTAAGGGAAACAGAGTTGCAACAAGGAAATTACCTGTGCCGCGGCAAACATAAGCATAACCACATACCTCCTAGGTGGTTTCCAAACATGACCTATGTCTACAACAAGCCCCAGCACGCAGATATGAGTCAATTAATTCATTGGCAATTAAAATGTTACAAGTGAAGACTGTTTGGGAA